CTTGCTTTTTTATTGTTTTTGATGATACCAATGCACATTTATTTATTCTGTTCTCACGCACAGTTCCACATGCCCGAATACCTCTATCACAACGTGGGAACCTAAAGGCATCTTTCTATCTATTGTTTTACCGCAGTATATCTCTAAATTATAGGGGAATCCATCTTGTCCGCATAACATCCATATTTTGAAACCGAATCATATTGGTTCATTTTTTATGAACATCTTAGCCGAGTGATGCCCATGATACGGAATCATCGATTCATCTATGCTGAGATTTTCATGGAAAACTCCAAATTTTTTGAAGTTTTGTTTCAGCATATCATATAATTCTGCAACTTTTGCAACTTTATTACCAACTGGAAGGTTGGCATTATCACAAATATGAAGATAACGTTTTATAAGTCGGAACCTTTGCCGACTCATTATTTTCGAAAAAATTGGAGCCTGCATGTCATCTGCAGTAGACCAGTAATCATCCTCAGAAGGAACATGGTGATATCCGCTTATCAAAAGTAACCCCAAAAACTGACGAAGTTCTTCCTCAGAAACAGTAAAGTTGTGAATATTTTTATCTCTATGAGCGTAGAGTTCGGTATTATGACGAATAAATTGAACTATTTCAGATGTAAAAAATAATGAAAAAATTTCGAACTCAGATTTGCCCAAGTGTTCATCGCCTACTCTTGGTGGTGTGGAAGCTTGAGCTTGAATTCCAACCTTCACACTCTTTTTCCATTTACGTTGAACCGATACATTTTCTTCCTATCTTCGTCGGAAGATTCATAAGCGTGAATTTCTACTTCCCCGGATACTTCGTCTGGTATATCAGGAATATCTAACAGCTGATCGTCAATAGTATCCTCGTCGCTTTCAGTACCTTGATCAGCTGAATCATGTGGAAGAATAACAATATCCACTGGTTCCACGGACGTTGAAGCTTCCACATCGTCGAGTGCATGTATTAGAAATCTATGCCTTCGTATAGATGATCAAAGTGTATAAAAATATATCTAAGTATTATGCTTTTTTTTTATTGCCACCAACTCACCCATAAAAACTTTTTGGATCCAAAGATATATCCATTTTTTCACTGAAATAAAACTAAAACTCAAAATTATTATAAACACCACGTGTTTTCTTCGTCGTAACGTCGTGACGACTAATCCAAGCCGTTACAATTACGCGCGGTCATTCTCTAGGGAACCTTGAATAACAGTGTTTCGCTGTTGCCAACGTTCCCATTTTGGGAACAATGAATGCTGAACGTGATATCTTTAGAAATAAGTTACCTAAATGTGTTTTTTGTAAATATTTCCTTTATATAATTCATTTACTGTATTTCTATTCAAAAATAAATCACAGTTTGGTACATATCGACTCCCAGTAACAACTTTAGCACAAAAAAGCAAGTGATATGAATTTGGACGCGGTTTCTAGGTGAATCCCGTAAGTAAAAAAAAACATCTCAGCTAACAGAAAGTAAGAATGGGACATACAGAAAGCATATTTGTTACAATATTTGAAAATATTTCAATATTTTCTGAATCCAAGTTATTTTTTACTGTGTTCCCAAAATGGGCACGTTGGCGTTTAAAAGGTTAAAAAGTGAACAAATTTTACATTTATAAGGTTTTTCTCCAGTATGAATTCTCAAATGGATTTTTAACTTATCCTTCCGGGGCAACTGTTTAAAACAAATTTCACACTTGTAAAGCTTTTATTCAGTGTGCAATCTCATGTACCTTTTTAAATTACTTAATTGAGTAAACTGCTTAAAACAAATTTCGCATATGTTAGATTTAATTTCGCACTTGTTTGGATTTTTCTCCAGTATGCACTCTCAAATGTTTTTTCAAACTACCTGATTGAGAAAACCGCTTAAAACAAATTTCGCACTCATAAGGTTTTTCCCCAGTGTGCAATCTCAAATGTTTTCTTAAATTACTTGCATCACTAAACTGCTTAATACAAATTTCGCAGTTGTTAGATTTAATTTCATACTTGTTAGATTTTTCTCCAGTATGCACTCTCGAATGTCTTTTCAAATTACCTGATTGAGAAAACCGCTTAAAACAAATTTCGTACTTATAAAGTTTTTCCCCAGTGTGCAATCTCAAATGTGTTCTTAAATTATTTGCATTGTTAAACTGCTTAATACAAATTTCGCACTTGTAAGGTTTGTCACCAGTATGAATTCTCAAATGGATTTTTAACGAATCTTTACGGGAAAACTGCTGAAAACAAATTTCACACTTGTAAGGATTTTCTCCAGTATGAATTCTCAAATGTAGTTTTAAAACTTCTTTCCCGGAAAACTGCTTAAAACAAATTTCACACTTGCAAGGATTTTCTCCAGTATGAATTCTCAAATGGATTTTTAACTTATCTTTCCGGGGAAACTGCTTAAAACAAATTTCACACTTGTAAGGATTTTCTCCAGTATGCGATGTCAAATGTATTTTTAAACCAGCTTTTCCAGTAAACCGCTTAAAACAAATTTCGCACTCGTAGGGTTTTTCTCCAGTGTGTATTCCCATATGTCGCTTCATATGTACTAGTTGAGAAAACTGCTTTAAGCAAATTTCGCACTTGTAAGGTTTCTCCAGTGTGTGTCATCAAATGTGTTTTCATATGATCTGTTCGAGAAAACTGCTTTAAACAAATGTGACACATGTAGGGTCTTTGGCCGGTCTTAAGTTTCATTTTTGCATTAACTGTTGTTTCTTTAGTGAAAATAGTGTTATACTTTTCTTTTTTAGTTTTCATAATTTTCTTATAACTGTTGTCCTTCTGAAGGCAACCTAAAATAAAACCCAACCTTATTTTTTTTACAAGGAAAAATTTATATCAAAAATTGAGCGAAGATGTAGGTGTTTGTCCTTACACCTTTGTCCTGATGGCTTTGTTTCGCGCACCAGTAATAGGTCGCTGGTTTTTTCCCTTGGGGAACAAGGTTTTTCCTTAGGGAAATAGGTTCACTTTCCGAAATGTCCCCCCTGACACCTCGACGTATTAAAAGATACAGTCTGTCCCAAACCCTTTTTTCAGTGCGTCACTAATTTTGACGTCATATGGGATTTTAAGAATGTCGAGAATTATTGCATGACATTTTAGTTAAATCTGACAGTTGCAGGATCGTAATCGGCTAAACGTGAAAAGGTTATTTTTTTTAATGCATAGCAGTTTGTCATAATTCTATTCTATTCTGTTCTATTTTATACATTCCATGGAAAGTGCTTAATTAGCTAAGATTTGTTTATGGATTTATTATTATTTATTACAAACACTAGGGAATTGGAAGGTTTGTTTATTTAAAATAACGTTTCCTCCTAGAATCTTTTAAGAGTTGACTGCAAGGTAAAAAAAATTACTGACAATTGCAAGGCATCAAAGTAAACATTCCTGTGATAAAATAATATCGATTTAAATCAGTCATATTTGGATAAGGAATTTTCTGATAAGTTTGTGTGGCAGCCAATAGTTTAATTTTGTGAAGAGTTGTCATTAAATAGTGGAAATAGTTTAAATAGTGAAGCAGTTGATTTTTGAGTTATTCTACCAGATTTGGTGTGCAAATGAAAGAAGGTTATAAAGTTTGGTTAAAAAAAAAAACAATATAAATAGTTTAAATAGTGAAGCAGTTGATTTTTGAGTTAATCTACCAGTTCCGATATCCAGACGAAATCGTGTTAATGGAGTTTAGCTAAAAAACAAGATACCTAATGTAAGTTTACCTTCTTTTTTATGAATAACAAAAATGAATATTATATTTCAAACAATCTATAATCCCATTCAGAATCTGATTCTTGAAAATCAATGATTACACTAGATATGTGGCTGGTATCAATTATATCCTACATTTCAAGAAAATGTCGTGGTTCTAAAAAGAACCGTTTTAATACATATAAATATCCATAAAGGTATTAGTTTAAGATATTTCCTCAATATCATTCCGGAATTCACAATCTGATTCGCGAACGACAGAAACTGAAATAAAGATAACTCAGCCTCTTTTTCTAATTGAAACTAATTTAATAATTTTAATATTAGTCTTTTTTCATTCTCGGTATATCTCGGAATATTTAAAATATTTTTATGACAATAAATACAAAATTTAATTTTCACTGTAGTTAAAATGTCAGTTCACATGTAGGTAAAATACTAACCTGGAATGGCAATTATCATTTTATCAGTTGACATTGTGAAAGTACTGTCACTGTCATTATCAAGATCATCTGTGTCAAATTATATTTATATGCATAATTGATTGGATATCTATTTAGCGTATTCTAAACTCCAACCAATTATACGTTCGTAAGTAGAATTCGCTTTAATATGCGAATACCCGTAAACGATATCTAATTTTCTAAGTTGTATATATAATAATCAGCGACTCACGTTTTTTTCTGTCACATCTAGCTTAATGCGTTAGAGAGAATTCGAACAACTATGACGCACTGAAAGAAGGGTTTGGGACGGACCGTATGTTTATTTTTCAAATACCTTTAACTTTCAAATCATTGATAAAAACTACCTGATAAGGGTATTTGTCTCAACTTGCGGAATTTTGGAATGCGTCAGAGGGTAATTTGGAAAATAATAATCCTTTCATTGTTACGATTCTATGAAGGTTTTAGAAACTTGTGTAGGAAGTTATTTAAATGCAAGATAACGGCGCTTTACAGATTATTAGTTAGTACAAAGAAATTTTATATATCTAAATTAATATACAGTATGATACAAAAATAAACTAAATAATATGATACAAAAATAGACTAAAAATATTAAGTATTGTTGTTACGCAATAAAAATAGAAAACAGAAACAAAAATGATCACATTTAATAAACAACGTAAAGCATACTAAAATGTTATGTCTCCAAAAGATTCAAATAAACATATGACGCATAACTACTTATAGTGTCACTTTGAAAAAAAAATAGACTAGCTGAAAACCCACAGAAAAAGATGTGGTAATTATTTACCAAGTGAGTACTCTTCAAACTGTCCAATTTGCTGTGGACTTTTGTGCACCTGAAAAAGGAAAAGCTCATATTTTAATGTTTCCTTTGCCGGCAACTACTAAAGTGCCCATTCATCATCATCTTTGGCTCGACAATCCTCTGTGGATCTTGGCCTACTCTAAGATTTGTCGCCATTCTGTTCGGTTTCTGGTAACATGTTGCCATCTTCTGATTTTTAATATCCGTAAGTCGGTTTCAACTCCATCTAACCACCTAATTCGCGGTCGGCCTTTGCTTCTTCTTCCTACAGGTGTTCCTGTGGTTAGCTTTTTGGCAATCGTATTTTCTGGCATTCGCATTATATGTCCAGCCCATCTAAGTCGCTGTGTTTTAATGAACGTTATGACATCTGGCTCATCAAAGAGCTGATACAATTCAAAACTATATCTTCTGCGCCACTGCCCTTGGTCGTTTATAGGTCCAAATATTTTGCGGAGTATTTTACGCTCAAATATTCCCAAAAGTCTTTCATCTTTCTGCGTTAGAGTCCATGTTTCTGCTCCATATGTGAGGACCGGCCTCAGCAGTGTTTTGTATATAATAATTTTAGTTCTTCTTTGAATGTTTCTTGAGTGGAAATGCTTTTGGAGTCCATAGTATGCCCTATTTGTAAGATTTATTCGTCTTTTGATTTCTTAGCTTGTTTTATTGGTAGCAGTCAATAGCGACCCAAGGTATGTGAAGTTGTCAACACGTTCAAAGGTATGACTTCCAAAGACTGTTTCTCGTTCCTCATTTACTATCGGATCCTTTGTAACCAACATGTACTTGGTTTTGTCTTCGTTGATGACTAGACCGACCTGTTTCGCCGCTGTTTCCAATTCTAGGAGATATTGCTCAACACCTCGCTTGCTACACCCTATTATGTCAATGTCATCAACATATGCTAAGACTTGTATCGATCTATTGTAAATAGTACCGCCGTCCCTAATTCGTGTATCTCGGACTGCCTTTTCTAAGGCAATATTCAATAGGAGGCAAGCCAGAGCATCCCCTTGTCTGAGTCCATCCTTTATCTCAAAGGATCTAGAATTCTCTCCCTGTATTCTAACAGTGGCTTCTAAGTTAGACATTGTCATTCTCGTTAATCGGATAAGTTTCTCTGGTATACCAAACTCATGCATTAATTGGTATAGCACTGTTCTCTTGACACTGTCGTATGCGGCTTTGAAGTCGACGAATAGGTGATGGGTTTCAATATTGAATTCTAATGTTTTCTCGAGAATCTGCCTTATTGAATGAATCTGGAATCTGGTCAATTGTTGATTTTTCTGGAGTGAATCCAGCTTGATATTTACCAACTATGCCCACTGTGTAAACTTGTAGCCTTTGGTAGAGAATATTTGCTAGTATTTTGTAAGCAGTTGTTAACAGGGTTATACCTATAGTTGTCACACTGGAGCTGGTCCCCTTTTTTATGTAACGGGCATATCACGCCTTGAGACCATTCACGAGGCATGGTCTCATTATGCCAAACAAGAAGTAAAAGCTTATGCAGTGTCTGCGTCAATTCCTGATGATTTATTATTTTTAAGCTTTTTAATCGCTTGGGCAACGTTTTCGATGGTAGGTGGTCTTTCGTTTGGGTTGAAACGATTCCAATCATTTCGATTTGTTAGGGTGTTATCTGCTTCTTCGATATGATGGCCATTCAATTTTGCATCGAAAAATTCAACCCATCTGTTTAGGATTGAGGCCGTATCATTTAGGATGTTTCCTTCTACACCCTTACAGCTCCTTATTCTTGGCTTAAACTCTTTGCGCATTTTGTTTAGATTTCTGTAGAACTTACGAGTTTCATTTTGATTTCTTAGCCATTCTGTGCTTTCCAACTGCTTCTGCTCAAATTGTCTTTTTTTTTTCTTATATATAATCGTTTTTCTTCTCTTCTTAGGGTCCGGTATTCTTCCTTTGCTCTTCTTGTGCATCCAGCTTGATTTGTTTTTAGGTATGCCCTGTTTTTGTTATCTGTTGCTTCTTGGCACTCCTTGTCAAACCATTCGTTTTCTTTAACTGGTTTGGTTTTCCCCAATATTTTGGTTGCTTTCTCAGTTATTATGTTTTTACATTTTGTCCACAGTTCCTCTACATTTTCCCCCACCTCCAGGCTCTCCATTTCCTCGTCTATTTGTCTCCTATACTCTCTTGCAACGGTTTCAAGGCGTAGATTATCAACATTAATTCTTGTCTTGTTTCGTGTGTTTACCTTTCTTTAGGTTTGATATTCTTCCTCTGATTTTTGCCATTACAAGAAAGTGGTCACTGTCAATGTTTGTGCCTCGGTAGCTTCTGACGTCTATGAGATCGGAAGAGTGCCTTGCATCTATCAGGATGTGATCTATCTGTTATGTTACGTCGTCCTTTAATAAAAACATCTTTATTTTGACATATACGCATTCACAATTTTTGCGTCCTTTATTGCTACCCTTTAATAAAATAAAGATCGCCTTTATTTGAATTAAATTAAATACATGCCATAGAATTGTAACATTCGTCACATTTTTATTAATTTATATTTAAATAATTATTTCATTTTAATTTCTTTATTCATTTATTAATTTCTTTACCTTTAGTTTAATTTTCTCTGTAATATTTTCAAACCCTAATATAAATTACAGTTTTCTATCATTATATCCATTTACTGAGTTGCCAAGTTGTGTAGACAGTAATTTTATCAAATACGCTATAACTTATACACTTACAAGTAGACCAAGTTAGCAAAGATATCTTTAACAACATCTTTATGTATAATATTTTACTGTTCTGCTGTGTCAATCGGAATCTCAAGGTCTCATCCACATCATTGTAAAATGATCTATATTTATTATCTAAACATTTTTATCGACAAAGAGGTACTTAGCGGCGCTATTTGTGAATATTTTACCATTAAATTTATACATGCAATCATATATTAGATTTTTGTTGATAGTTAAAAATTAAATTATCTAGTATTAAATATTTTAGTGGGAATTATATGAAAAATGGTCAATCGTCAAAAATGTTATTTAAAACATAGGAACATGTCTTCTTTTTAGTACTGGTTTCAGGTTTGTTATCTTCCTAATTAGTGCGTCTTCTTCTCTTCTTTGTATGTGCTCAAACTATCTGAGTCTTTGTGGATTTATAAATTTTACTATGTCTTTTCTTTATCTTTTTTCGTAAGACATATTATTACTTTCGCTCCGTATGCTATCACCGGTCTAATTCCTGCTCTATATATTTTTGTCTTTGTTTTTTTTTATATCTTTAAGTAGTGATATTTCCAAATTACAACGTTCTTCTCTTGCCTTGTGTGCGTGGTAGTGTCATGCGTTAGATGTATGATTTGGGGTGGTTGATGCGTATCTAGTTGTCACGGTTCTATTTGGTATAATTAGTTCTTCAGTTTCCGTATTCGATCACTTTATAACAATAACGCCAAATGTGAAAAATGGTATTGCGTATGTGTTTATTGCTTTTACTATGTGCTTTTAATTAAGTTTGCTTTGGAGTATTATGATTATTATAATACAATGATATCGAGCCAAAGCAGAGCTTATATGGCCCAAATTACAAAATATTTAAATCATGAATGTGTTGCTTGTGTGAGTCCATATCAAATAGGTAAAGAAATAATAATAAGACTTACTCACAATCAATTTAATTTAACAATCTGACGACCGGTTTCGCTTTCTATAATTTGCAAAGCATCTTCAGGTCGGGATACAAAGTTAAACTAATGCTGCAATAAAATAAACCCAATTAGGGTGGTGTCTCATAAAGATAAAATAAACAAATAAATAAATTAGTTCATACAAATTATAGTAATTATGCCAATATTACATGTCTGTGGTTTTCAAAATGAATAATTTGAATATATAAAAGGTAGTAACAGACAAGGTAAGGCCCACAATTGGTATAAAGTAGCAATCTTTTGTTGTAATAAATTAATAAATGAGCAAATAAATAAAACAAACAAACATTACTTACATGCCGGTACTCTATTAATTAATGGATGGTAGGTCATGGTTGCAAAAATCATGTATTGTTGATTGGAGAACTTTAATGAGCTATTGCAGTTGTTTTGACAATAAACGGGAAGTTCTTGAGGAGAACAGATTAGATCCAATGAATTAGAGATAGGTATATTGTTGTTGTTTGTCAGATGAAAGTGATGTTCTTTACTATTGTATTAATTAAATTATTTACACTTATAACAGAGATATATTTTGGAATGTGTGTTATTTATTGAGTATTTATGTAATGAAGGAGACAGTTCTATGACAATGAATAAGAGTAGCTGTACCGATTGTGTGGTTGTGCAATTTTTTGACTTGCAATTATCAAGTCTATTGGCAAAATTATTAAAGTATTGTAAGGTCAATTATGTAAAAAGGTATATAAAAGTATATAAAATTATTATAACTTAAGAATGATTAGGGACAAATTAAACACACATTAACAGGAAACAGAAACACTAAATGACGGGACAAACATTGAATTTAAAACTAAAACTTGGGGATGGAAGAAACTGTTAGCACTACATCTCACTTGTTGGAAGAAATGAGTTTTTTCATATTTAATCTATTAGATTTAAGAGGTAAATTTGACATATGTAGGTTGAAGTGTGACAGTTCTTCTTCTCTTACTGAATACTGTAAGTTTAGTTATTCAGTATTATGGAGTATGTTGATATTAATGAATGTATCAAAATTTGTTTTAATTTTGAAATCAAAAGTAAATTGATGTTTTAATATTGGCATACTTTAACAATTTTAATTAGTAAGTTTCAAATTCAAAAATGTTTATATGGTAACAATGTGAATAATTGAAATACATCATTTGTTATAACTAACCAATTTTAGTCTAAATATTTCAGAACAAATTAAAATGATTATTTAGTAAATACAAACAAGTGTACTTGTAATTGAAAGATATAACAAATTTACAAATTGCCTGAGAATTTTTTATTTGAAATGATTGTCGGTCTGAGCTATCTATTGTGGTGTATGAGCATTTCTTAAAATATTT